TGGTTGAATGTGTTGAATGGTTGAATGTGTTGAATGGTTGAACGTGTTGAATGGTTAAATGTGTTGAATGCGTTGAATGTGTTGATGCAAAGGGGAGGAATGCAGAAAACCGTCAGTCAAAGTCATAAGAGAGGCAGAATTACTGAATGTTTGTGCCAACATGGATTAGTCAGAGCAAGAATAAGAGTGATGTAGTCAGGTTATTCACAAGTCCATCTCAATTGAATCAAAGTCACGATAAAAACCACCACAAGTTCAGACAGGGATGATTTACGGAAAGACAAGTCAATGCGTCATGAGTATATGTGCTAGGCAAGCTCGTGACTCTGACAATGTGATAGACGTGTGAGGTCTTTGAAATGGGCTTTTGAGAACTAGACCTTAATTAGGAGGACTTCCAGGAACTCAGATACAACAATGTCCTTTCGGAATGCAAATGTTTCCTAAACCAAGCACAGTTTTTATAGGCCTACAAGGAATAATAAGTTTCAGCAGACTATTAACTATACTCATGGCTGTATGTGCCAGACGAAACGCAAACGTGTTGTGATCTAGGAAACCCCTTTACATGGTGAAATACCTCATTTCTCATGTTATATACATCACACTATTAATGAAGACACTGTGCTGTTTTCAATACTGTTAAATTCATGACTCTGGGCTGTCTATAACTTGAGTTATGCTCTCAGGAAGTAATAAGAGCTGCAGACCTCATTTGGAGAAATCAAGCTTTGAAGTTTGGAGTAAAAATTTCACTGAGGTTGCCAAAAATTGACCTGATGAAAGATTGCATATTACAGTTGAAACTGCATCCAACAAGAATTTTTTGGATGATAATAGCTGAATAGTAAAAAAAAATTCCAATTGTTGTAAAAAAGGGGGACTTTTTTTCACTTTCTCCAAACAAGTTCTGCAACGTCCCACGGGTTTCCCAGATGGCATCACAGATGTACAAGAGGAAAAGAACAAAAATGAAGTCCACTTTTACATTATGCAAGGCACTCCAACGCCAGGTGCTATAAACCAATTACAACACGGCTATTGATGTGAGTGCAGGATTACAAGGAATGACAAGTTGATTAGCCCTCACCTTGAAAGCAGCCAGACTTGACGGGTACGGGCCATGGCGTATCGCAGGTTGGTCTTTTCTGTGGACACGGTACTGTTCATGTACATCTCCCACAGGTAGTCCCAGGCGTCCTGGTCTCCGGTCTCCTCCATCCCAAAGCGGTAGACCTGTCTCCTGATGTTGACGGGGACACTGCCGAGAGGGTAGGAGAGAAAGGACAACATGTCCGATTATAAATGTCAGCGACAAAAATGTGACCCTTCAGGCCTGCGTCTATCTCCAGGGCTTAGCTGACAGCTATGAATATTTCTACTCTCCAGTTGAATTACGTGATGCCGGTCCATCGCAGGTTGCTCCCCAGCTAGAGATGGTACCCATTTGTTCCCTCTGGGTGCAGAGAGGCAAGTGGAGGTAAAGTGGCTTGCCTACGGATACAAATTTGGCCAGTAGCTGGACTTGCACCCCCTGATCCTCTGACAAGGAATCAGGCACACCCTAATAACCACTGAGCTCGACTCCCACTAATGCTGGAGGTTATTCTGCATGCCCTTCAGAGGCAATCAACCTCAGTTAAATAAAGCACACCACTGTTTTTTAATTAAGGCAACATATCCGATTTCTTTATAGGACAAAAAAATGCTGAGGTATGTGTATAGGCATAACTGGCTCTGGATTGCGGAAGAAATCTCACAGTTTTAAGCCGCTGAGATCCTCTTTGGAGTTATGCTTGGTTCTGAGATAACAAGAGGAATAAGCTTGCGAATTAATACGCTCTAGCAAGAAATAAACAGCTCTTCCATAATCAAGGTTTGTAAGACCCTTGTATAAAAAAAAAAAAATCAAAAGTTTCAGGAAATATAGAGCTAGTTTCGCACACCGAGCAACTACCATACCTTTGTCCATTCAAGTAATTTGTGAATCGTAGTACAGCTTGTTCCAAACAGTCAGAATCTCCAAAGCCGCAAGACATGTAGATGATATCACTCCGCAGCTTCCTGGCATGAAAAGAAAGCAACCCCCCCAAAAAATCAACCATTAGAACATCAGCATGTTCAATCTTAAGAACAAAAAAAACATTTAAAAATGCAGAAATCTAATGTATTTTGACCTGATGCCAGTGCTGATGATTTTTGCTTTTAAGAAAATATTAAATATGAATGTATGTTTTCATAAAGGTCTCCAATTTTCCATGCCAACAGAGGGGGATTTCTGCTTACTTTTTTTGAATGGCACTACTCTCATTTCAAGGTAAAAGGGTCTGTCTTTATTGCAGTGGATGGTTGTTGATTTTCCCAAAAAATAGGATACTGTCGATGTCAACAACTTCTGAGTTTGTTTGGAAGCAGTTGTTTGTTAGTTGATGTGTTCTATCTTAAACTCTGTGGCCATTTAGTTAACCCAACCTAACTACACAAGTTACAAGTCACCAGAGTCCCTTTTGAGTTGCAGGCCTGTAAAGGAATCTTGCAAGGTGTAACTTCACAGGCATCGTCATAATTTTCAACCACATACTATCAAGATTTGACAGGATGCCAAACTTGAGTCATACAAAACGAAATCAAAATGAATAGCTGAGTTTGCTCTTTCTAATGCAGAATGGAACAAAGTAACTGACATCTGGGTCTTCAAGACTCGTTTTGTCAGACCTGATCACATATTTCCGGAAGGCTCTGTGATGACTGTTGTTTTCCTTATTAATTTGTTTCACCATAACAACTCAATGGGCCTCCAGAAGTGGGGCCTATCCGCTCCGAGCGGTACAAACGAGGGCGTGTGTTTTTTTGGTTCTCACCGCATAGGCACGCCATGAGGTGCGCAAGTATATGCGCGTTTGACACAGAGCACGCTGAGTACGCGTAACTAATTTATTCCGGCGTGTATGGTCTTTGCGTACACGCAGAACGCGTGCAAGAACCCGCTTGTAACCACCTGTCTTTATTTTTGCCTATTGGGGGTGCACTTCAGCTCGGGGCGGATAACGTTGTCCCCCTGGACTCTCAGCTATCTTTGGCAGGACAATTCTATCATCCATTTTTAAACCCTTACGTTATCCCTTATATTGTCTTTTGTTTTTGTTTACGTTCCAAAAGTAAAGTGCATATTTGCCTTGTTGAGCAATCCCTCTTGTCAAAGCAAACTCTGCAAAAGTTCTGTTTTAAAATCTTCAGAGGTGAAAGGTCACTCGAGGAAACAGCAGGAAAATTCAAACGTACTTTTCCATGTGAGTTCCCTGGTCGTTCCAGGTCAGTTTATCCAGCATTGGCTTTGCTTGCGCTGCGAAATATTTCTGTAATTGAAGGGAAAAAAACAAAATCATGATGAATCTCTAGGACTGATTTGGCTGCACGTTTAAAAAATGGAATCCACAACTATTTCAGGGGCATTCCATCATGACAAAAATCAAGATCTGGAATTGTCAATTGCGGTGAACGATGCAGAAATTCTCCTGGAATTGTAAATTCCTCTGGGCATGCACATCACAGCACTGCTGGCATGTGCTTGATTTGTTGGCGGGAAGTCGCATCAGGAAACAGGTGACTGCTCAAACATGCGGAGGTACAAACTTTAAAAGCCAGATGCTGGTAGTTTCACAAGCTATAGCCCCTTGAGGTGGTGCCTACATTGATGAACAAGGACAGGAAATTGCTAAGTTGGGCATGTCTACTGGACGCACACTGCTCGATCATGCAGCACTACCACTTGATTGCGTTGTGCTATCGGTTGGTCCTGTTTGATAAATCTATTGGTCACACCCCTGTCAGTCTATCATCATTTCTTTCACAGCTGTGGAAGACTGGTTAGAAATGGTGGGGACGTAGAGTCAAAGATTTCGTCAAGAGCCGACCGACAGAGCAGCATGATCGAGAAACAGCAAACGCCGGTTGATCACATCAAATGCACACATCCACGTTTGCTCTCAAAATTATCTCAACGACGTACCCTGAGATTAGCAAAGAGAGGTCGGTAGCGCAGCATTTCTCGCAGCCAGATGATGCTGTCATAGGCCGCATCCCATGGTGTGAATTCCAGTTCATTAATCAAATACTTGGTCATGTCTAGCGGGATTTCATAGTTGATGAGCTCGGCTCTACGGGTCAAGAGGGAGACGGAAATCAGTTTAAAAATCAGTGAGATCAGATTCCACAAACAGAGTTATTTTTAACATAGCAGGGCTGGACTTTGGTTGAGAAAGTTACTGCAATGTATGAAGGACCAAAAGAATGGGTCTACAGTGTCAGTTTGAGAAGGATTGGTTCTTATGCAGGGAATTTCAAGGGGCGTGAGTACAGATGGATAGAGGAGGATGGGGTGTTTGTATTCTAGGAAAACAGATTTCTATTACTGTGTAACTCAATCTAGAGTTGTAAGAGTAAAATCGTGGAGGCAAGGTGATCTGTGGACAGTCGTAACACTGAGATCAAAGTTGCTGCCTTGGCAAGTGACAAATTGTATTGAAGGAAACTTCAAAATGTAATAGTTTATTAAATATTCATATTTCAAATGCTGTACATGTAACATTATACAATAAAATATCACATAATAACATATCATGTATGTATAATACATTTTTCGGTTTAGTATGCATTTAGGAATCCTGATGGAAGCCTGCGTATATGTTCCTACCTGGCCAGGTTAAAGGCATCATCCAACAAGCCGGCCCTGTCACGGATGTCAATGAGCTGAAATTGGCAAAACAATAAATGTGGTGCATTTTGAGAAAATATAGAAGTTGAAAATGGAGGGGATTGAAGTACCGCTGCACCTGTACTTGAGCCACCCCCCTTACACACTGGTGCTTACAATGATTGATAACACTTTGATCAAAAATACCTTCAGCTAACGGCAACACTAGCATGGCAGTTTATAGACACGTCAATCTGGTCAACTGGCATAT